CCCCAAAACCCCAAAACCCCAAAACCCCAAAACCCCTCTCCACTTTCCTCTAATTGAAATTAAAAAAGATGCTTACCAAATCTTCAGAAGTGAAGCCTTGCCCTCTTCTTGTTCAAGGACCCTTGAACAAGAAGAAGTCTGAGCTCCAAGAATTGAAAGAGCTAGCTCTTTCAATTTTGGACGCAGAGAGTTCTTCAAGTGGGGTCCAGAGAAAGGAGAGGAAGGCGGAGCTGAAGCAGAAGAAGGTAAGAAGGGTTTAATCTTATCTGAAAGGAAATTAGATATCTGAAATCTCGTGTTTTGGTGTGATGTTGCTCAGATATTTTTACTAAACTTAAGCATCTCTAAAGTTTATTTATTCTTAATCCCAATCATCTCTTTACTCGACGCTTTTCCATCTTCTAATTCCTCTCAGTAAGATATAATTGTCAAAATCCATTATGACTTTAAATAAATTTATTCTGGTCGATAATTTTTCTACCAATTTCCAAACCTAAGTATTGCTATCTTAGGAGCTCAGCTCATAAGTATATAAGTTGTAGAAATTAGACTCTCTTCTTGGGTGAATTTGAAGTCCTGATATATACGTATCCTTCATCGGTTTTTATCAGATTTTAGAAAATCAAAACAAGTACTAAGAAGCAAGGAAGCCCCAAAAAGAGAGATGATAAATTTAAAAGAAAGCTCAGGGAGTTATTAGAGCACCATAACCCTGATCCTTCTCTCAAACCTCCTCAAGAGACTTCTCAGAACAAGTTATGAGCAGACACTTCTAAACCTAGTAAATGAAACCAGCCGGCGGCTGGTTTCGAGAAGATTGGAGAAGTCTATTTCAAGACTTCTCTTTTAGAGGAAGAGTTCAAATTCTACAATTCCAGTTGCTCTCAGCGCGAATAAGCGCCAAAGCTCTGGTTAAGCCAGACAATGGGTATTAACTTATATAATATTCCAAAACTTTCATCACCCGGCTAGTTTTGTGGGGTTTTGGGGTTTTGGGGTTTTGGGGTTTTGGGGTTTTGGGGTTTTGGGG